CTAAACCCAACCCTAAACCCTAAACTGCTTCTTACGGTGACCATGTCAGATGTCCGGAATCAAACCAGTCACACGTATTCGCACCAAACCCAAGCTCGGAACCATGGATCCCAAAGGGTCCGATTACCATTATAGCAGGTTATTATTAGATATTTGGGCCCTGCATATATATATATATATATATAAATATATATTTATATTTATTTATTTATATATATATATATACTAGACTGTTACTTGGGCCATTTGGTGATCTTGTATTTCTTGAATCTCCCAGTCTAACCTCTCAGCTTGCTACACTCTATGCCCTTGTCCCCGGTGGTCCAAGTACCTTTGTAGCAGATACGTTGGCCCTACTTGGAGGGTCGGGGACTTTGTAAGCAGTAATAATTTTGAAGAGTTATAGGTAGCCCGCTTTAGGATCCCGTTTAAGGTATTTATAAGTCTATTGACTACTAATTACTAAGTCCACCGGCCCTCCAAGTAAGGGGAGGTTCTGATAGAATTCCCCCTGGTTCCGAAGTATATTCGGGACCTGGATCGCATCAACACTCCGTGAACTCCCAGGTGCTCCGATCTCATCCGAGGGCGGCACAAAAGCTGCTGCTATGTGCTCAGTTGTTTTCCCTAAGGGTTCATGTCGCCAAATAGATATACTTTGGCCTTAAAGTAGTCCCTGTATAAATACTTTGGGGCCAATGTATATACTATTTGGGTACATGGACCCTCAGGGTTTTATCTCGCGCAACGCCTCTTTGCCTTCGAAGTCTTGTCACCTAGAAAGGATGTGTATGTGGTGTACTGTGTGACACATACATATATACGTACAAAGGACCCATGTCCTCATCTCTGTATCTCTCTCTCTCTCTGCATAACATGCAGAGATATACGTATATTATACAGTTTTTATATGTTCATTTATTTACTATATATAGATGTATAGCCATACAAAGAAGCATATATAAGAATATATACACATACGCATATACATATATATATATATACACACACAGACAGAGACAGATAGATAGACAGACAGACAGACAGACAGACAGACAGACAGACAGACGCTCACACACACACACACACACACTTTCACAGATCTTGTGTACATCTACATCCTACATCTACATACCGTAGTTCGTCCTGCGGGTGTGTCGTGTGTATGCATGCACGCATGTACGCATGCATGCATGTATGTATGCATGTATGTACGCATGTATGTAAGTATGTGTACGTGTATGTATGTATGTATG